CAGAGACGTGCCGCACCTTTGTGCTGCGGCAGCAGCGAGCTGCCCTGCCTCGTGCCAGGCAGCAGAGGCTGCAGTGCCTGCCCAGCACAAGGCAACGGCTGTGGGGCACACAAAGACTTCACCAGCGCACCCAGAGGCGTGGGCTTCGTGCTGCTGGCTGCTGAGAACTTTGGGTTCTCCCCTCGCTCCTCCAAACAGGCGGCTTTAAATGCACACTGTGTGCTGAAGCCTTAGCGTGAGGTCAGATGGATGCGCAGCAAACTCCTGAGGATCTCAGAGCCCCAGTCTGCTCTTGCCACCAAAGCAGGGTGAGGGGAACACATCCCATGGCCCCAGCCCACTCTCCACATCATGCCCTTGGATCCTGCAGCCTCAGATCCCACACATGTTTCCTGCAGGCACTGAGGGATCAGCTACAACCAGGATGAGGGCTCCACAGCTGTTCTCCAAAGGAGCAGGCATTTCCCAATCCTTTTCCTATCACAGAAGCCGATTCCTGGATGCGCACAGCTCCCTTCCCTTCCTTTCCTGGCCTAAGGCCCAAGCTGGGTGCAGGCTCCAGCCCTCTCATCCACCCGGGGGAGATTTCTTCCTGGCAGGACTGAACACAGTGCAGGGAAGGGCCAGCAGGCTCCCAAACTTGGCACTTTCTCCTTCCCACAGCACTCGGACAGGCTCCCAGATAACCTCAGGAGCCCACAGGCAGAGGAGGCTGGAAACTGCAGCCCTCTGACACTCACACCATGGATGTCCCGCGGCACAGAGAGCTTGAGAACAGCTGGAGCAGGCTCAGGATCACTGAACAGCTCAGGGCTTCTCCACTTGCTCCCAGCTTCCAGGGACCAGGAAACCAACACCCAGCAGCACATCGCTGAGATCGGGCCCTGGGAGCAAGCAGGGGAAAGGTGGGACAGTGCAGGGCAGTCAGGAGCCTGGGCAGCAGCAGCGAGCAGCAGCCTGCAGCTGACGTGCCAGGGCACAACCCCACTCCGCAGGTGACACTCGCTTCTCCTCAAAGCCACCATCTCTGGAGGGCAGGACATCCCTGCTGCCCACGCTACATTTGAGCACCAAGCCTACGGTAGGCTTTCTTCATGTCTGTGACCCCAATTTCCCAAGTGGCCACACGTGAGAGAACCCCTCTGATGGTTCCCTCCACGCTGCCAGAACTGTCTGACCAGAGCCCAGCTCGCTGGGGAGCTGCAGACAATCCCAGGCTGGGACGCTGCTCTTTCCAAGCGTGCCCTTACCACCCCAAACACGTACAAAGGCCCGGATCCATCGCACCACGTGGGACGCTCCACGGGACATCCTCTCCACCAGGCTGGCTTCCCCACCGTGCAGCTCCAGGGGCTGGGCACACAGCAGCTCCCCTCCCAGCTGAGCAGGGATCAGAGCAGCAGCATCACCCCTTGGGTCTTCCCGGTGTTCCCAGACACAAGCTCCAGGGGTTTTCCAGATGGCTGACGCAGCCGTTCGATGTCCCTTGGCTCTTGCACGACTCTTTGCAGCAGGCAGCCTGAGGTACTTCGCTGGGGAAGTGTGGGTACAGAAGAGGGAACCGAGGCACGCAGCTGCTGGGTGCTGCACAGAAACAGCAGCACAAGCGGGAGGAAAGCCGGGTCCTGAGCACTGCCGTGCCCCCTAACCTCGCCTGCACACATGGCCCTGCCACAGGGACCTTCCCTGCACGGGACAGCCCTGGAAACTGGGGAGAAAACAGGCAGATTTTTTCCAAAAGCCTTCTCCAACATTTCTCAGAGGCACAGTGTACAGCAGGGCTCCCCGGCCGCTCGCAGGACTGGGGAGCAAGCAGCAGCGATGAGAGCCAGGCAGCCCCGGGGGAAGGATGGCCACAGCCCGCTGCGCCTGCTGCCTCCACGATTCGGGATGGTTTCTCATCCCATGGGGCACGGGAGCACGCTGAGCCCTGCGGGGCCTGCAGCGGGAAGGGCTTTCCAGAGGGGTCACCCCCAGCCATGTTTCACCATGGCAAAAGGGATCCCCGAGGGTGGACGGGAAACGTACGGCCAGGCTCCATGCGCCAACTGCCAAAGGCTCGGGCATGGCAAGATGTGTGCCAGGAGGCTTCCTCGGCCCATCTGGGACCGGCACTCTGGTGTCGTGAGTATCGCTCCCAAACCCCCGCTGTCAGCAGGAGCTGGGGTGGCAGAAGCACTTTGAATGGTAAAGGTTTGGGATTTTTTCCCATAACCCACATCCTTTTGACAGAACCAGGTTAGGAAGCAGCTGCAGCGGCAGCTCTGGGGTGGCCTTGTGCAACACGAGGCAGGGACGAAGGGGTGCCCAGGCTCTTCCGTCACCAACGTGCAGCTAATTGCAACTTCCCCAGCTCCCCTGAGGTCACACAGAAGGAGGGGATGGCACGGGCAATGGAACCAGCCCCGTCACCGCCGGAGGCAGGGTACAGGGGGTGTCACTCACCGGTGACAAGGCTGCTTCCATCCCTGGGCTGCAGAGCTGCGGCTCTGTCGGGCGGAGCTGCCCCACATTCGAGCAGGCGCCGCTCTTCCTCGGGCCGCTCGAAGCCCCACACGTTCCCTCCCCAATTACTGCCAAGCCTGAAGAGCCAGGAGGGGAAGGAGGAGGGTGGAAGGGAAAGCGTCGGGGGCGGTTTCACAGGGAAACCTCTCCCCTGAGCTGTCGAGCTCCCCGCGCTGGGATGCCAGCAGCGCTTCCTCACTGGAAACGAACCACCCTGAGCCACCCTGCCTTACGTGTGCTGCTCCCAGCTCTCCGCCCCTATGGGGACAGCCACAAACAGGGCCCAGAGCCCAGGCCAGGGGCAGAAGGAGCAGCAAGGAGGAGCAGCGCAATTCACCTGTACTGCAAAGTACCGGGGGCAGAGGGGTGCGCGGTGGCACAATACCCCCAGCTCACACACCAGTGTGGGCAGTGTCTGCAGAGGAGCAGTGCAGGAGGCATTTCTCTCCCCACCCCCTCTGGTACAAGCCCAAGCAGCTCAGTGCATTGCACATTTTTCCTTGCAACCTCTCTCTGAGGTACACAAGTGACCTGCTTATTTCACAGATGGGGAAGGGAAGCAGTGCGAAACTCTGACGCGTTGCTGATCTCGCCGAGAAAAAGGGGGCAGCGAAGGATGATCCCCAACCTTCAGCGCATCGCCCTCAGTCCCAGACAGACACCCCCGGCTGCTGCCTCGCAGGGAGGGATAGGCAGAGGGGTCAGAGACCCGCACCCCATTCCTGGACGTGCCGCAGATGGTTCAGCATCTTTTCACTCCTCCATCCCGCAGTTTCTCACCCAGGGAATCGGATTCACAACCCCGTACTGAGCGCCGTGACAGCTCCGTGGATGAAGGCCCCACTGTGGTTTGCCACCAACCTCCACATCAGAAGGGCATGTTCCAAAGGCTGCTTCTCACCTTCCCTCCCTCCCCATCTGGGAGCGTTTTACGAGATCCCAAGGCCAGGGCTGAAGCAGGAACCCCACCCGGTTGGCTACAGCCAGGAAGGTGCTCCCAGAGCCGCTGCTGGCGGGGAGACAAACGGCTACGTGAGGAGACTTCCCAAGGGGTTCAGCCAAAACCCACCCGTCCCTCCAGCAGGTACGGCCGGTGCAAGCTTGCTGGTTCCTCCCTTTGCCTTCCCTGCTCACAATTTGCTTCTCTGGACCCTAATAAAGGGCTTAATTCATAACATCAGAGGATCACCTGCAAGCAGCAGCAGACAGGACGCCCCCAGGAGCACCCAGTCCATCCCGCTGCTCTCAGCACCCTCAGCATTGTTTGTGTGCACAGCCCGAGCCTTCGCCCTCCGTTCTGGGCTCACACTTCCCCGACTTGTCCCAGACACCCCCGCCAACACACGCTCGCCCTTCTCCAGAGCACACTTCCCAAAAAAGGGAAACCCAAACCTGAAACCCAAACCTTTTCTTCTCTTTCCGTGAGTCCATTACTCAGGTTTCTTGCTCCTGTCACCTCTTCCAGCCCCCGCAAAGTGCACTCAGCTCCCCTGGCCTCTCCATTCATTATGCAGCCCATCTGTGGCCCCAAACCCACCCACACATTACAGCAGAAGACCAAGATGTCCCAGAGCAGCACAGTGCCGCTGGGTGCCCACCTGCAGTCAGCCCTACAGCACGCTCAGCGGGGCTTGCTTGCCCTGCTCGGGACCACGAGCCCCTCCAAAACCTTTTACACCTGGGCTGCACCACCCGAGGGGCTCCAGGCTGCCACAGCCACTTGGGCTGCCTGGACACAGCTCAGTTACCACCAGACGCTATCAGGTGCTTGCAGAGCATGCAAAACGAGGGAAAAAGTCAGTTTGCCACCTTCCTATAGAGTCACCCGATCCCCATTCCCCTCCCAACACCAGCACCCTGCTGGCTTCCAGGCTGGACAGGGCTCAGATTCACTCTGAGAAGAACATTTGCCTCCCCAGTGACAAACCCATCAGGAAAAGCTGAAGCCACGCTCAGAGCTGCCCCAGCTGGACTCTGCTCTCTGGATCGCAGCTTCAGGTGGTGATTCAGGGCTGCCTGCAGGTCCTTTGCTCCATGGGAAGGAGGAAGTTCCCAACTGGGCAAAGCCCTCCTGGCTAACACCGTGCACCTTTGATTTTGCTTCAGGAGTAAACGCACTCTTCTTTATCTATGCAAAGCTCCACTAAAGCAGCCAGGGATGGCCAAAGGAACAACCAAGAGCAGTGAACGTGCAGCTGGGGCAGAGACTCGCTGTGCCCCTGAAGGCCAGACTTCACGCCCAGCCCCAGCACCACTCGGCCTGCCTGCAGAGGCACCTGAGCCACAGCAAGGTGGGAGAAGAGCCGCAGGTTCCTCCCCGCCCCCACTTCCTCACGGTGAATCCACGCTTTCCTTCGTGTGCAGGCCAGCACCGCCCCGCCTGATCCTGACGTACATCCCCGGCACCCAGCGCATCTCTGCAGAGCTGCTCTCTGCCCAGAAACGGGGACAAACCGCACACAGACGAGCGGCAGCGAGCGCCCTTACAGCCTTACCGGAGCCGTGCACTCGTGGTGTGCTGCGAGAGGGATCACAGCGAGGTGAGCGAGGGCAGAAGCCACAAGCACCTCATCGAGCGGGTCCAGGGCACAGGAAGTCCTGCCGTGAGCAGGATCCGCTGCGGAGGGTTTCACAGCTGCCAAAGACTACGGCAAAAGCAGCAGAGCGTTTCTTTTCTGCTCAGATTCTTCTATCAGGAAGTTTACGCACGCTTCAGCCTGGCTGCCCACGCTGCCCCGTTGGAAGGCAGCTCCGAATGCTCGCCTTGAAATCCCCCGGCAGCGTGAGCGGGGCCGTGCACGCAGACACACCCAGCGCCGCGTGCCCGAGCACACAAACATTTCCTCCCCGCTGCTCCTGCGCCGCAGCTCAGCCAGGGCCGCCCCGTACCTGCCCGGCCGGGCTGTGGGGAAGGCGGGCGGTTTTACAGACCTGTGAGCGCGGAGACGTGAGCACATTTCCTGTCGGCCCCCTGCCCCCCTCGAGCCGCCGCAGCGGATGTTCTTCTCTCCAACTTCTTCCTCAAGGCAAATATTTAGAGTCTAGCAGGCATTCCTCATCACAGGAGCAAGTTAAACATTGGCCCGACAACAACAGCAAGTGCCTTTAAACGCTTCTGGCTGGAGAAGCGTCACTCTGGACTTTGGTTTCTGGCTCTGAACAGAAAGAGGAGCAAAGCACCAAGCGCTGCACTCCTGTCCCAGGAGCAGGCGGAATTGGGGCTGTCCCCACCAGGGCCACAGCAGGAACCGTGCCCTGCTTGTGCGCTAGCACGCTTCAGGTGTCTGCTCTCACCGAGCCCGCTGCAGCGCGTCCCCACACCACGCACACGTTGTTTTGAGACGGGGATAGCCAAGGAACCTGCTGGGAGCTGCGGGTGCCGCCCGGACTGCAGCCAGCTGCTCACATGCCCTGGTTCCCCTGCTCAGCCTGTGCTGCCTCTTCTCAAAGGCTGCCACCTTCCAGCCTGCTGCTGCAGGAGGTGCTCCGGGCTGAGACCACGCAGCACAGCTCAGCTCCCTGCCAGCCGCACAGGCTCTTGCAGGAAAACCCCTCAGCAAGGTAGAAGCCTAAGTCAGTGAGATGGCAGGAGCAGACGGGACTGCCGAGCCAGCCTCACCTCTCCCACAGCAGCCCCACGATGCCCGGTCAAAACTGTGGCCAGTTCCCCAAGAGAAAGCTGTCGCTGGAGACATTTACTGGCACACAGCTCAGGTGTGCCCGGACAGCGTGCTGCAGAGCAACTCATGTCCCACAGCTCGCCGATGTTAGCAGGATATCCGAGCTCCTTTCGCTCTCCTGAACTCGGTGCCTGCAAGGGGTACCCGGCTCTGCTGCCCCACTGCAGGCAGACAGACGGGGAGGGAACTGCTCCTGTGGCACCCCTCGGCATGATCCCACCACACACCCAGCCCCAAGCATGGCAGCACGGAGCCGTGGAGGTTGGCTGGGCTGGAATTCATCTCCCTGTGCTCAGACACCTCCTGCAGCACTGCAGGAACCTGCTGCGGGCTCCTCTCCCCGGATCCCCAGACCAGGCAGACACCCCCATAGAAGCAGCACACGATTCAAACCAAACCACCTGCAGGGTACCCTGGAGGAAGCAGTGACCCTGCAGCCCTCCGAGCACTTGCTTTTCCTTCCCCAGCCATGGAAACCCACGGAGCAATCAGCCCCGGTGATCAGGTTTGTGCAGCAATCGCCACGGCCCATGGCAGGGATGAGCCCGCACCTGTCAGCGCTGCTGACCCTGCGCCCACCAGGGGCGAGCGCTGCTCAGCTGCAGCCTCCTCCAGCAGGCAAAACGTGCCTGCAGCACCAGCGCTTGCTCTGAGCAGCACCCTCGATGTTCTCTGTGCTGGGCAACACAAAAACAAAGCTTTGAGTAAAAACCAAAGAGAAGAGCAGTGAATGTGGCCGGACCGGGGGTGCTCCAGGCGAGCACTCCACGCGGAAGGTACCGGAAAGCACCTTCCTCCCCTGCACCAAGAGCACGAATTTCGTCACTTCCAACAGTCCACAAGAAAAAAAGAAGAAAAAGGAGAATAAAAAGGTTCTTTTGCATTGTTGTTTATACCTCGCGCTACCCCAAAAGCCAACAGCAGTGACATCTCCTACCTGGAGCCGCCGGGCGCTGGGAGCGCAGAGCCGTGAGCAGCCCGGTGCCATTTCGCTGCCTTCAGCTTTCAGGTTGCACGGCCACAGCCACTGGAGCCCAGCAGCCAGCCCCTCGCCCTGCCCAGCACGCTGGGGGCACGGCCACTGCTCCCGGCACCTTCCAGCCCCGGTGCTTGCAGGGCCCCCTCCGGCCCCGGTCCCAGTGCGCAGGGGCTGTGCAGCTCCTCCAGAAGGAAGCGTCACAGAACCCGAGGCCAAGCCCAACGTTAACCTCTGTTAATGAACTTAACATCCCCCTCAGGAGGGCAGAGCCTGCACATCGCCTGCCAAGCATCTCATTTGCCATTTGGCAAGTAAAAGCCAGGCCTCCCTCCCGAAGCATTGCATAACATTAAATAACAAAGGGCTGCAGGACACTCTCTGGTTAGGAGCTTGGTAAAAATGAATGACAAAAAAAAATTACTGCTCCTTTCCTCCAGCCTCGAAGCCTCTCTCGTGGCCCAGGAGGCCAAGGAGAGCCCAACAAACTCCTCCTCTCCGTGGGCCATGAAAGCAAGCACGCGCATCTCGGTCTGTGCAGCGTTTTCAAACGCCCTGCGAAGTTTTGCCTCTGAGTTGCAGCCTCCCTGAGGAACCATCTCCTAAATCACAAGGCGTGGGATCACCTCGATGCTTCTCGAGCTCACCGCTCTGCTGCAACGCTGCCACTGCAGCCAACGGAAGACAGACAGACGTGTGGTTTTCCACGGGCTGCCTTTCCCCCAGCTCTCGCTGCACCACTTTTCATCCCCAGCACAGCAGCACCCTCAGAACCCGTGAGGGGGTGAGGGGGGAAAATCCCAGCTGGGAACAGCTCGGGGTGGAGGCGAGCCTTGGAAGGGCTGGCCCAGGTTTCACCCCAGCTGCCAAAGCTGCCCAGCAGCTGGCAGGAGGAACCCTGGACCACCTCAGCCAGCTGGGTGCTGGGCTCCACGGTGTTGTTTTTTTTTTTAAAACCACTTCCTAGGAGCAATGCAGCACTGAAACAGCCGAGGGGCTGTGCAACAGGAGGTGCTGCAGCCAGAGCAGGGATTTGGGAGAATCCCCCAGGAGATGGAGGGCAGCCAGTGGGGACCTGGGAGCCAGGAGGGGAGCCCAAATGCTTGGTGTTGGGCTGCTCCAGCAGAAAGTCACCTTTTACTTTCCCCACAACCGAGCCCTGCTGCTTCTCAGCAGCGACGGTCCTACCGGAGATGCTGCCTGCCAGTAGGAAGTACAAACATCCATTCCAATAAAAACCAAAACTATTTATAAGCACACAGCTTTTCTAGCGGGAAGAGAACTTGTTCTCCGGCAGAACTCCAGAACCAAGGCGGCTCCTTTCCCTTCGTCCCCTCCCAGGGCACCAGGCACAGCAGGACCAAGCAGCCCCAGCGGCTCCTCGCTACACCCACAGCACTGAGGGCAGAGCTGCTCCCCGAAAAGAGCACCCGGAGGAAGCTCCTCGTCAGCACGAGTCCCCTGCCCCTCAGCAGCACCACAAGGGAAGGGGGGGGAACTCCAGAGGCAGCTGGAAAGGACGGGGGCAGCGCGAGGCACTGCAGGGTGCTGAGAGAGAAGGGCCACCTCTCCTCTCCTCCCCAGCCCCGAGGGCTGCCCCTCTCTTTCCTCCAGACTTGCAGCAGGAGGTGATGCTGGCCGAGGCTTCCCTGCGACCCCAGACACCTCTGGGTGCCCGTGGGGCTGCAGGTCCCCTGCTGCTCCCTTCCCCGGCTCACACACCCCAGGGCCAGTCCCTGCGGCCTCTCGGATGCCCTCAGACTGATGGGGGGGGCGCAGCCAAGCACCGCTGCTCCCAGCACATGGCTTCTGCTCGCCAGGGGAGCTAGAAAAGCCACGGGGGGGAAGAGAAGGCAATCAGGCCCGAGGCCAGTAAACATGTTTATTGGCAGTGGCTCTCTCGGACATCATCTCTTCCAGCCCAGTGGGGCTGGAGGGGGTGGGGGGAAAATCCTGACTGTCCATAAGCGCAGCCCTCCTGTCGTTCCCATTGATCCGCTGAGTCACTCCCGTATTAGCAGTTTTGACAACACTCGGGCTGCACAGGAGCTCAGAAGCAGAATACAAAGCAAGAGGCGATGCGAAGCCTCTCGCCGTACCGGCGGCGGCACAGAGGAGCACTCGCAGGGCACAATTCGGAAACCTGCTGAACTGCCAGCGCCAACTTCCTCCTCCCCGCTCGCTCCAAGGAGAGCTGCAACAAGAAACCCAAACACGAGCCACGCTGCCAGGGCAGCGACACCGAGCTCCATCCAGTGCCTCCCGAGAAGCTGCTGCTGACAGGACAGCCTTCTCCCCTGCAAGCTGCTACCCACTGCACCCCGGCTATGTCGGTGCAGGCGCGGGGCGGCAGCTGGTTTTGCAGAGAAACCACTGAAGGGATCCCTGAGGCATTGCAGGTTGTGCACTGGTGACCAGGAGGGCAAATCCCAGGGCAGACTGGCACACGAGGGCGGCAGTCCCTACGAGCTGGCAAGACGATGCCCCAGCACTGTGCCACCACGGACCCGAGGGAGCCACGTTTGGGGCAGAGCATCCCGCCCACACCACAACTCTGCAACCCGGCTGGAGGCCCAAAGGTACCACGCGGCGAGAAAACCACCACGGAACGTCGCTCCTCTCTGTGACACCCCAAATTCAACCAAAACCAAACAAAGCTTTGGCAAGTGACAGCGGCCAAGCCTGCCCCGCCACGGGGGAGGCCTCTCCACACGATCCCCACGGAGGCCTCCTGCCCTAATTCACAGCGATTCTTTGTCAGACGCACTGGCAAACACCAAACGTCTCCTCCACGCTGTTACATAAGGCCTGATTTTTAAACCTGGCAGTGGTGAGGTGGGGGCACGCCGACAGGACAGCCCAGGTGAACTTCCACACGCCTCAGAACGTATTCCCAGATACCCAACCACTTGTTGTACGGCAGGAAAACAAATGGATTAGTCAACGAGGCAACTTCCCAGCCAGCAGTCAGCTTGTACAGAACGTGGCCGGGGTCCCGGTTACCCCCACCTTGTTTAAAACAAGCTAATTTCACAGCAGCTTGAAAGAGCTTTACCAAACTTCATTTTTAACTTCAGAAACACGCTTAACACAGCTGATCCCCGTGCTGCTCAGACCGCAAGCCATGCCTCCTTAGAAAAGGATCATTCCCCAACAACCCCCAGACACCTCCTTATTGCCCTCTCGGCCCGAGGACCCCCTGGGTTCCCTCTGCCAGCCACCAGCCAGGAGCCGCAGGCCTCTGGTGGCAGCTCCCTGCTTGCCAGGCTGGCAGGGGAGAGCAGCTCCCTGGCTGCAAACCTCCCCCGGGTGCTGTAGGCACAGCCCGAGTCAGCCCGGCTGTGGCGGGGCAGAAGGAGGGCAGGTTATTTTCCCTGTTTCTCACATCCCTCCGCACCCGCTTTGCCAAAGGAAAGGAGCTATTTTAAATCCCAGCCTCGGCACAGGCCCTTCCCCAAATAAACACCTCCCAGCCCCTCCGGAGGGAGGGAAGCCACATACAAAGGAGCCAACATCCTGCGAGGCCCCGGCTGCGGGGCAGGGGGACACACCCGGGGGTGCCCCGCTACCGGCCCCAGCCCCACACGGCGCTGATTTGGGGGGGGGAGGACAGACAGACAGACAGACAGACGGACAGGCGGATGGACACACGACGCCGGGGGGGACCCAGGCCCCTTCCCCACAGCTCCCAAGGAGGCGGCGCGGGGAGGAACCGCAGCGAGGCGGCCCCGGGCCCTCGGAGCTCCCCGGGCCCCTCAGGACCCCCCCAGGCCCCTCAGAGTCCCCCGGGCCCCTCAGAGCCCCCCGAAGCCCCCTCAGCCTCCCCGAGTCCCTCCTCCCGACCCCCTCAGCCCCCCCTTATTCCCTCGCAGCCCCCCAGGAGCCCCCCTTACCCCTCCCCAGCCCCCCTTTAACCCCCCTAAACCCCCCTCAGCCCCTCCCCACCCCCCCCGGCCCCCCACCTCGGCCTCCTCAGCGCCCCGCTCCCGCCCGGGCCGTGCCGCAGCCCCGGGGCAGCCCCGGCCCGGCCCCGGCGCCCCTCGGCGGCCGTTACCTCGGCGGCTCCCTCAGCGCCGGGCCCCGCAGCCGCTGCCCCGCGGCCGCCTCCCCATGGCGGCGCCCCCGGCCCGGCCCTGCCCGGCTCCCCTCACGCCGCCTCTCGCCTCCCTCAGCAGCGCCCAGCCAGCCACACGGCTACGCCGCCGGCGTAGGCTCCGCACGCACCCATGCGCCCCCCGCCAGGCCGCCGGCGCAAACGCCTTTCGTGAATACCAAACTCCGGAGCGGGGAGGCCCGGCGCAGCTCGGCGCACGCGCAGCGGCAGGGAGGTTGAGGAGCGCTGCTGCGTTGGCGTAAATCGAGATCGAGAATAGCGAGGCTTGCGGAGAGCTCCGGCCGCTTTACAGCGGTGCGCGGCGCTTTACGGCAGCGCCGCGCCGGGCGGCTCCCGGCGGGGGCTTCCCTTTAACCCCTTGTTGCCCACGGCGCTGCGTGAGGGGCGCGGCCCCCTGTAGGGCACAGGCCCCGCTATAGGGGACGCGCCCCCACTGCCCATAACCCCTCTGTGGCACAGGCAGCTATAGGGTACAGCCACCAGGGAGATACGTGCATATAGGTATAGATATAGGGATAGATATAGGGATAAACAGATATCAAGGTGCAGGGCACAGCTGTAGGGGATGGCCCCAGTTCAGGGACCCATAGGAACAGGGAGATAAAAACAGACATGTATGAGGGAGATATATACACATATACATATACCAGAGAGATATATACATATATACACACACACACACATATATACCTCAACCAAGGTGTCGTGCACAGCTGTAGGGCATGGCTGTGCTTCAGGGACGCACAGGGACAGGTGGGGGCTCAGCCCCACTGCCACCCCCCCAGCCCGTCACTTTGCTCCATTTTGGGTTTATTCAAATAATTCAGCCCCAGGACACCGCTCCCACAGCCAGAGCCGCTGCCGCCCCACAAAGCGCAGCCACCGTCCCTGCTGGAGCCTCTGTGAGAGCCCCCGGTGCTGAGGGGGAGCAGGTGCCCCGCAGGGTCCTGCTGCTCTCATCGGTGTCACGGCGCGGGGCAGCCTCACCCCCAAACAGTTGGTGAAGGAACTGGGGCAGTTTGGGCAGAACCCGGTCCTCAGGCTCCCCCATCACCCCAAAGGCCCAGATCAGCGGCCCCAGCTGCTTGAATCAATTCTCTCCCAGCTGTACGGGAGCGCTCCTGCCGATGAACCCCCCTCCTGCCTCGCACCACTCCTCTGAAGTATTTTATTCCCTGCATGTGTTTGATTCTAGAAGAACGGTGACCTCAGAGAATTAGGACCAGGGAACAAGCTACACCACGAGCCAGGCAGGGATCCTGCCACCCCTGGGCCCTGCCCTTTGGCAGCTCCGTCCCCAGTGCGGGGATTCCGGCTGTCGCAGGAGGGCACAGAGGGGCACAGCAGGGCCGTTATCTGTGCCCCAGCAGCAGAGCCGCCCTCCCCTTTTCCTTTTGCACCATCCCAGACCGCTGCATCCCCCTTTTTCCCCCTTTGTGACCCTTTTGGTGACACCGTGCGAGCCTGTGGCAGTCACACACAGCTCTGCCCAGCACGGCCCCGCTTCACCTCGTCACCCCGCAGCGGTGCTGATGGGCCCTGGCACCGCTCAGCACACGGTGTGTGTGTGTTGAGAGCAGCCTGGGCTCAGCCCCGAGGAGCTGAGCATGGGGTGAAGCTGACGGGTTCCCAGCCTGCTATGGCCCTGGCCTGTGATCCTACAGTGTCTGGGGGCTTTTAGTACTGCATCCCTCTGTGCTGGGGGTGGGAGGGAAGGGGGGAACAAGGTGATTTCCAGCACTTTGAGACTACAGGATTTGTCCAGACATTTGGCTCGATAATTTATCCATCCTCTGGAGCAGGAAACAAGAAAGTAAATAGTTCTGATTTTATTCAAAGTTGGATCTCCAGCATGCCTTAACTTGGCAGGGAATACACAGTGTGCCAGGCGTGGTCTGCAGAGACCTCTACAACTCATGCTATGGAACCGGCTCAGCACAGCGAGTTAGTGAGAAAAGCCAGGGAATTTCTGTTGGGAAAGGATCCAGCTCTGAACCCTGCCCTCCTCCCCAGGGCACGAGTTAATTAGGGCTAATTCACAAGCAGGCAACACAAAAAAAAAGCACTGCTGTAACTCATACAGAGGAAAAAGCTGCTCGGAGCAGGCAATGTAGTGTTTCTCTCGAAGCATTTGCATTCAGGGTCCAGGAAATGGCACCAAAGCGATAGAAATCCATTAAGAATCAGCCAAAAAAAAAAAAAAAGGCCATCCACAGCATCCCATCCCACACAACCACAGGGCTCCAGCTGGAGGAGCAGGAGTGCAAAGGGAAGAGCCCCCACCCCAATGCAGGGGTCTGTGGGACATTTGGGGAGCTCTTTTTGTGCACCCAAGCTCAGTGGTGCAGCCACTGCCCCATCCCCGCTGAACCTTGCCCCCTGCTCCTGCCAAGCCCCTGAGCTCCAGCTCTCGCCCAAGATGTGTGGCAGAGGAAAACCCAAGCACCAGGGACCTGCCCCACTCGTGGCAGCAGCAGGAGGTCAAACCTGCACCTCCTGCAAAGATTTTGAGGGCTTGGAGCAAGAATTTGAGTAAGAGCTGTTTCATCCTCATACTCACCATGTGATGGACACAGCAGCAAGCAGCTGTTGGAAATCCCTGATTTCATACTTCCAGAACACAGCCAGGAGTGGAGAGACGGACATTCAGGGTGCAGACAACCAGCAGCTCCCCAAATGCTATTGAATACCTAAACCAGTCCGTCTGACCCTGCTGCCTTGCTGAATCGTGCTCAGGCCAATACATCAAAGCTGCCATTAACTTTCTGAGAGCCCAGCACAGCCTGGCCGTGGGCAGAGCAGGTGGTATTTGCAGGAGGTGATGCCTGCCTGTCCCGGGCATGCTTGGAGCAAAACAGCTCTGGGAAAAGGTGCTGCTGTGAGATTTTTGTGAACATGAGGACTACACCGTCTCCTGCCAGCGAAGGTGAGATACTAGTGGCTGCAGAGGGGGTACAAGGCTTTGGAGATGAAGAAAAGATTGAGATTAGCAGATACGTGATCAAGCAGCTGAGATGAAATCAGCTCTCCTAGGGTTACAAATCCGCTATGGAGCAGAGCTGGGGTATGAAGCCAGGATAGCATAATTTGGGGCAGTAAATCCAGCTGCACACTAAATAGAGCGATGCAACTCACCTTTGCTGTCAGACAGCCTGTTTGCCCCAGGGATGACGGGATCTTTCCAGGCAGCAAACCAGACAAGGCAGAGGCCAGCACTGCAAAAGGCCAACGTGAACGTGTGCTGCTAAGGAGAGGCCAGGAAGGAGGGTTCAGCCCCGGCGCACCCCATCACCTGCACTTCTCCATAGCTAGGAAATGAGAATAATGGTAACATCGGTGTAAAACACTTGTCAGGCATCTGCAAGAACACAAACTACAGCACGCCAACTCTTGTGGTGGTCCCCAGCACGAGGGTAAGCCTCATCCATAAACGTGCTGTTCTTTTAAGGGGAAAAAAAAAGTGGTGGGAGACTGGAAGAAAATAGAGATTTCGCCATTTCCCTCTGCCAGATAACTCTGGTTACCTAGGAACAGACACACTTCTCTAATGCAGCCAGTTCTTCTCATCAAGCACAGGATGAGCATTTATTGTCTTGTGATCAGAAGAAAAACACAAACAAAAACCAGAGCCCCACAAGTGACACGAAACATCACACACGTACATGCCGCATGATGCCGAATGAAAACAGGAGCCAGGTCCAGGTTAATGGTGTTAAAGAGTCTTAGAAATCTAATGTAAACATTAAAAAACATACAGAGGAGTCGGAAAAAAAAAAAAAAAAGCCACAGCAGTTCAGGCAGTGTGTTGAGTCAACTTTCTGGAATTACGGTTTCTGGCATCGAAGAGGATGGAGGGGGGCGATGTGCTTGGAGATGGCAGCTCCCGTCCTGGGAGGTTTCATTTAAGCTCTTTAGAAATCCCAGGCAGTGTTTGCTAATGGATCATGACATTGGTGTCTGCCTCCAACCATTTTGGTTTGCAGGCTCCTAAGTACACACCCCTCACTGCATCAAGAAGGTTGGAAATGTGAGGATGGGTGCTTTAAAAGAGACCCCCGGGTTATCCAAGGGGAGAAAGAGAAGCTGGACTCAAGAGCCCCCTGGCAACGCTTCTCCTCTTGGTTCAATTGAAATCTTCAACCTGAAACACTAAAAAAGACCACAACTACTGCTGAAAAAAATTTGGCAAAAGGCCGAGGATGGCAGGGGTCAGAGCCAGAGGAGCGTGCTGCACGGGCACCCCATGTCTGGGCCCCCAGCATGGCCACCCTCGAGTGCGGCCCCATTCACCTCACCTTGCTCCCCTGCAGTGAAATCGTATTTCCAGGGAGTTCTTCAACAGGCAGTTCTTTTATCACTCTCTGATGGCAAGCGACAAAGAACACTTAACATTTCACTTGACACAAGACAAAGGCACCTAAAAGCTTGACAACACGACCGGGTTGTATTCTATTAATGAAGGCATCGAGCATTTGTACTTACAAGCACATTGCACACTCGCAAGAAAAAAACAACCTTGTGTTTGGAGCATGAGCCAGAGCCAGCAAAAGGCTGGCTCTGCAGCAGGGGGTCAGTGCTGCTTGTAAACTGAAGTTCGAGGAGGCTCTGACCTCCCATTAATGTTTGCTTTTGCTTTGGCCCTAGTAACAAAGGTGTCATGCAGACTCCAAGCTGTACTTCACTTAGTATTTACAGTAGGACACGGGAAAAGTTAATAGAGTGAATGGGAAGTTTTGCCTGGGGGATGGGGAAGGAAAAGTTCTCCTTCATGAACTAACATTTTATTAGATAAGGCACATGTAGAGACAGTTTTCAAAAGATCACTTGCAAATCAGTTCCACCTAGCAAGGACAACCTCCCTGCCCCTTTCCAGGAGCCAATTTTGCTTTCCAGTTATTTAGTGTGGACATGGAGTGACTCCACTTCCAGTGTAACGCCTCTGGTGTCACCTCCTACAACTGGCCAGGCTCTGGGCCTGACTCTCAGGGTGCCCCACACCTCTCAAGTCTCCAAACTGGAGCACTCTGCCCTTCTCTGTCCATTGAAATTCCCAGAGCTGCAAACATTGAACACTCAACTCCCTATAAAAATATTGGGAACCGAGCTCCCAGTTCTAACAGGTTTGAGAAAGTTCATAGCAGGCTGTTGAAGGAAAGGAAAAGACTGCAGCCTTTGCTGCTTGGATCGTTTTAGGACACAGGGGAATTGGATGGCTCAGGCTCCAGGAGTCCTGATGTACATGCATGAGATGAAGATGAGCGATGAGACTAATGCTAGCTCTCAGGGGAAACAACCCCTCCCAACAGCTTTATCCTCTCTTCAGCTGATTCCTGGGGAAAGGCAAGAACCTCTCTCCCCCTGCTCGTACAGGGAAGGAAATCACTGCTGGCGACGCAGCCACGTACCAGCTCTGCACAGCTAGCGTCAGCTACGAGGACTAACGAGCTTTCTGAGACAACTCACTGCAGAGCGGTTGGATTTTAACTGCGTCGGTAGAAGGCAGAATTCAATTTATCAGTTGTAATGGAATTACTCCCAAACCACGCTGGGGCCCCAGCACTGAGATCAATAGTTAGCTGGCACCCAGCTACTGGCCAGGAGCCCAGAAAAAAAAGGTGTCCCAACAGGACAAGGCGTGTCCAGTACGGCATGTATTGGGTCAGCACAAAAATCCTGACGCCACGTACCTGGAATTTAGATGGCACAGAGATCTTGCGCTGCCTGCCTGGAAAGGGGTGAACGTCACCCAGGCAGCCAGGTCCAAAGCCCAACAGCAGTCAGCTTTTCAATAGTTTCCAGTGGGCTTTGAATCAGGCTTTTAGTGAGCAGTCAGTTTCACAAAATGAGATGAATTTGCATCTCTGCAGCACACGGATCTAGCAAAAACTTTTGGTGGCAGGGAAAGCAAGACTTCTATCATAACAATAGTTCTATAGCCAGGCAAATGAGGACTCTTGTGGACTTAGTATCTGAACAGCACTCACCCGCAGCAAGCGCTGTTATCTAAAGGATTCTTCACCAGAGAGCGCAAGCAAATGAAGCTGTAGATTTTACAAATACCTTCAATATCACTAGTACCAGATAATTCAGGTGTTGCATTTCCCTTTGAGTGAAAAATTCCAGATCATTCATCCGGGAGAGCAAACACCGGTTGCTACTAATGCTCTGATTGTGTTTGCTACAACTACAGACGATTTGGCGGTGTGCTGTGCATGTGATGAAAACTAAGCGGGGAGGCAGGAGAAGGAGCAGTTCTGGTAGTGTTCACCGTCACGGGGAAGCCAGCCTTCTGCACATATGGTCATGAGAGCAGTCCTCAAGCAAGGGCAGTGAACGGTTGGTTCCTCAGTCTGCAACAAGGCAAATACTGGTAACAACAGAAACAAACAAAAACTATCCTTCTGATAAGGCCGTGCAGAGCTCCTGAGGTGGCGTGGGCTGACAGCACACATCTTCTGCAGTGATGAGGAGACAAAAAAACAAGAAAGTCCCCATGAAGACTGGGGTACGTGTAGGGGAATGCAAATGATCTTTTCAAATAACAATAATAAAAGGACCAAAAAAGAAGAGAATCCAGGCAATTTGCAGCTGTTGCTGCTTAAGGCCATTGGTTTCCCGGGGGATAGTTGGGCACTGTGGGATACTCCGGCAGGCTGTTCCCAGAAAAATTGCTGTACTGGGCCTCCCTGCTGGGGGGGTTCCTCCATGCACCGCTGTTCCACTCGTCCTGAGCTTTCTGAAAGCTTCCACCAGCCCCTCGGTAGATCTTGTGAACCTAACGGAGTAAAACAAGAGGAAAAATCAGCAGTGGGTACCTACACCTCTTCCTGAGAAGTCCTATTGTCATTTGGTACTGTGTTTGTTTCTCTCTCTCTGCAAACAGCTGTTTTTCCAAGGGAAAAAAAAAGCACAAAAAAATATAATCACATAATGAAAAGAAGTGCAAATAGATAGTATCAATGCAAGGCTTGAACTTGTCTTAGCCATACACCTGGGATTTAGGCTGGGGATCCCACAGCAACAGTCCATGCAGCAAGGCAGCTAGCCCAGGTCAGTGGGCTGAAAACCCCATAAAACTGTCACTGCTGCTTCAGTGGGGCTGAGGCTGAAGGACTCAGCTGCAGCACATGAAAAAACCTACACCAGGAATCCAGGGGCACTAAAGACCTGGTTTAAATGTCACACCACCAGGCAATGCCTGACGGCACAGGGCAGTGGCGCTAAACATGGTGACAGGGGGCAAAACGCTGCCATGAACCTGTGGCAATCTCCATGATGGCAACTACTCTGAGACAGGGTTTTGTTGGGCTAATTGCCTGTCCTCTTTCCCTTCTATCTTCTGTCCTCCTATGCCATCAGTCTTCTGAAGCTTTGCAGAAGGTCTCATATCCAAATCCAGTGTTCTGCAGACAACCGAGGACCGCTTGCCATCCTGCCACCCTGTCCCTGCTGCAGACGTCTTGAGATGCTTCACCTTTACAGTCCCTTGGCTTAAGTGACATAAAGGAACATGGAACGGGGAACACATCCAGCTCAAACTGTCCTGCATTGTCTGCATTAGTCCTCTAAATAGTCTGAGATACACCGACTACACTACAAAACCTTTAGAGGCAGTGATGGTTCACAGTGGCTGTCTGTTCACCTTACTGCAATACGAAACACCAATATTCCAAGTCAGAGAGACACCTGAAGCACCTACCCTTAAAATGCAGATGAGCATTGTGACCGCTGACATTGTAAACATAATGGCAGGAAACAGCATGAACACAGCAGATGCAACGTTGGTGCTAAAGAAAGTAATTGCTGCCAACCACCCGCTGCAAGAAACAAAGAAACAGTATCATTACTGCTCTCTTTTTTAAGCACAATTGTTACCAGAAAGATGGTTTACGCACACACAGAAGTTACAAGGCAGCCTTAAAGCTCCCGAAATCGAAGAAAAAAAAGAAAGAAAAAAAAAGTGAAGAGGATGGTCAGAGCTAAATGCAGCTCAGACAGGTATTTCCCCTGTATCTCAAATCTGACTCGCCAGCATCCCTTGCTAATCCAGTCTCAGACCTTTAGGGGACAGCCAGCTGCACAGTGAGGTTTCAGGGAGAGAAGATTTATTCCCAGGATGCTTTTGACAGTGCAGAGGTTGTGCAACCAGAGAACAGACCTGGGAACATGGAACATCAGGGTCCTCCCATCTGTAATGCATCTCCATTCCCTTTGATGGCAACAACCAGACAGGGCAACTTGAGAGCATCAGCAGTTAAAACTAAATGCTGTGCAGAGTCTAGGACTTTCTATTATTTGCAGCTTCAGCAGGAATTGCTCTCAAGTCTCCAGAGACAGAAAGTTAAAATGCCAAATAATTATAACATAACCAGGGACAGACACTAAAATGCTTCCATTTATTTTAGGACAGCTCTCACAATACTTGCTCTATAGGCCAACAGTGAGTCATCACGCACTGTTCAACATGTGCTGCAAATACTTTGAGGGCAATGCTAAGAGAGGATCAGATCAATCTTGAAACTCTCTGGTTAAACAGCAGAAAGGAAGGACGTTACAGGAAGGTGCTAAAAAACAAACAAACAACAAACAGGCAGGTGAAGATATCTGACTTCTGCCAATACAGGAACTTTTGCGATAGCCAGCAATGGGAATAGACAGAATTGTGTACTCCAAGAGCAGATATAATTATGCCACAGAGGAAATCAGAAAGCTTCTTCCACCCCACCCTGTACAGACTCCCACCAGCTCCTCTAATGCTCAGGGAAACAGCCCGTAGGCTGAAACTCTCAGGCACTGGAGCTGAGGGCTCAGCTGTAAGGCTCCAGGTGTGTCCTGCTTACCAAGCTCCCCATCCAGAGAAACCGATCGCCTGCAGGACCGTGAGAAGAAACTGTGCGCCGAAGATGAAGAAAAAAGCCATAAAATTAAACGAGCTGTCTGACCTGCAAAGGAAGGAGAAAGAGGCAGTTAGGAGGACACCGGAACCCTGCATTGCTTCTTGTTAACGTTGGACCCCATCACACACACACGCTCAAGCGTGCTATCTCAGAAAAGTCCCTCAACAGCTATGAACTTTGAGGACAACTCCTCTTTCCCTGGCAGTGAAAGCGCACAGATCCATGAATCATCAGTGCCTAATCTCTTCCAATAAGCCTGGCTCCTGCAATTGCTCTACCGAAGTAATTACATATATGATGACACACGAGGAAAGGCAGTCTCCTGCGGAACACAGAGTGCCCAAATCATTTCTCTGACTGAATGTCTGAAGTCAGTGCTACCAGATACCTGCGCAGCTCGGCCACCAGCAAGCAGGCACAAGAGAGCCCAGACACCAGAGGCAGTTTGCCCATGTGCTAAAAGTGACCCCTGAGCACGAGAGCCCAGCTGGGAAAGTCTCAGTGCCTGCTTGTCATGAAGCTTACACGCCTACAGTTACTAACCCAGCACTGGGACAGAACAGGAGGAAAAATAGCCACACGAGAAGAGGGTGGTACGCTGCTTAGGGAAACACAGAAGTGTGCTTTGCTTTGGCATCTGCACAGACTCCACATCTTCAGAACGTGTACACTGAGAGGGTTCTGACTATGTGAGGTCCTTTTGATTTATGCAGGTGAAATAGGCAGTGTGAGTATAATCCCAAATAGGAAAATGGTCCCAGATCTGTTCATGGTCTCTGGGCGCACTGGGGCACAGCGCTGTTCTGCCACAGGACATCTTTGTCCTATTAAATCAGCTGTGTCGATGAGCCTGCCTTCCACTGTAAGCCCAGGCACAGCTCTGAAACCCTCCAAGCCAGCTGACCTATCATTTTTTATGATATGAGCTATTCCCACTCTCTCAGGAACCCAAAGGGCCCATGATCTACAGAACAGGTTTACAAAAACATTTCAGGAGCTAAAGCAGCAATTTGGTGCAGTAGGGACTTTACAGAAGAGCTTCAGTCATTCCCAGCCCCTGCTCAAACACTGGAAGTACACGTATTATAATGGTCTCCGTAGTTCTAGCCCATAATGTCAAAAGCTGAGGGAGGCAGGACAACAAGCTCCGGCCAAGCCAAAGCCACGAACCCTGCCTACTCTGACACAAGTGGGAAAACCTCCAGCCAGAGCCCGGCTGCTCCTCACGTGCTGATAACATTATCTTCCATCTCCCAAAGAGATGGCTAGAGAGATGCTGTGAGAGAATGAAACCATCCCTGAGAATCCTCGTGATCCTACCTTTCAAACAGCAGCACCTCAGAGTACAGCAATGTGGAAGAAATACTTCAAACATGGCCTGTTCACAGTAGTGCCTGTCATAATCCAATTAACAAAGGATTAGGCTCCAGGCTGAGCCTTCAAACAGATTCTTGCAACTAAGACCTGAAAGGGCTGGAGGAGTCTTCACTTGAAAGGATCTCTGGGAATTAGTGAGGATACACAGAAAAGGTGATTTCTGATCCAGCTTTCTGGTGCAGATTTGCAACAGCTTTGCCCTAGCGCCAAAGCTCTGCAGCTAATTTAATTTTGGATGCAGCTGTATGACGAAGGTTTTACGAAAGCATCCTCACAGCACACGATGCCAGTGTGGAAGGGCTGCGTCTTCCCAAACGCCACAGCGAGCGGACCTGACCTGGCTTTCCAGAACCAGGACGACCTGCAGCCCCAAAACTACCCGCGCTGCCCCACTGCAGTGTTTTTCAAGCCTCTTCTACGACGGACATCAAAGTTGACGATCTCTGGGCTTGCCAGTCTGTCTCTAGGGCTTATTCTTTTTTTAAACTGTGGAAGTCTTTATGCAGAGTAACCTCAGGGACCTTTCCGTATTCAGTTGCATAAACACATACAAACAACATTAAAGAAATAATTAGAAACGGTCCTTGTAAGCCCAGAGGAGGTCAATGAAGACGAGTAATTTTTCCCAGACTTCAGAACGGAAAATGCTCTTTGAACAGAGCTCCAGTCGGCACTTGGAGGCTCTCGGGCTTCTGAACTAGAGATGGGGACAAAACCCCAGACCCAGAGGGCAAGAGTTCAGAGCTGGTATTTCCACATCTTTTAAAACTTTCAGATGAATCCAACGCAGTGGCCTTCCCTTTCAGTCAGAAATAATCCTCCCCTGTACTCCCCCATGTAGTCACCGATATTTAAGCACCTCGGGTGCATTAGCTGCCCAGTGTTGTTAGTACACTAAGTGTAAATTCAGAAGAGCATTTAAGCAACTAACCTAGCATGTGTTAAACAGACAGGACCCCATTTGCCAACTCTCGTATCTGTCAGCTGCTTTTGCTGCTATCTAAAGTAACTCATCACAGAATCTGGTCAATGATCAAAATCCAGAGGATTCTGGTAGTGGGGAACCAGAAGGAGCTTCCCCTTCAGAGTCCAAATCCCTGACTCCAGTGTGGGGTCTGCTGACGACCACAGCGTGGTCTCACTGCGTGTTACCTCCTCTCTGTGCCACCCCTCCCTACACGAGACTGGAAAATGCTTGGGACCTTCACAGCTCTGATGAGCTTTATGCATTAATGTCTGAATAATGCCTTGTGATACACGAGAAGCACGAGCAGATGCAAACAATTATTAATTAAAGTAAAAATGCAGGATGGCTTTAAAGACCTGTGGAGTTTCAGAAGGACTCGCCCTAGTGAACCACTTCTTTATAAAAAGCAAAGCAGCCACGTTGTCAGGTGTCTAGAGACAAAATCCAGAAGAGTACTTGGCTCCTGATAACTTAATAGTCTTCCACCAAAACAGCCCGCAGCAAATCTTTACCAAATCAATACCCACCCTGATGTTATACTGCTATGAGGGTGCTGCTAAGCCTGAGATATTTGGGTGAGATATGAATTTCGTCCTCACAGAAGTGGCAGACTACTCAGTGCTGCTCACCTCCAATCCGAGGAGGCAGGTGACCCTCAGCCCTTCATCTACTATTTAAAAGTCGCCACATTCTTCGCTGAAAACAATTCCGAAGACAATGAGATGTTCAGGTATCAAACCCTTCATCTTTATCCAGCTCTCCAGAGGGGCACTCCTCAGCAACAACACATCTCTCTCCCAGAGGAAGCAAACTGCCTCGTGTGCTCTCACTTACCGAAAGGCTTTGTACGCCGGGCGGAACCAGCAGACGTAGCCACAGGGACTGAAGAGAATAAGCCAGAGGATGGCCAAGCCAAAATTGACCCCAGAGCCTCCTCCGATCCACCAGGCCAGGCACGCAATTATATTCACTACTAGCGTGATGCAGTAAACTGTAAAGAGAGCACAGGAAAGAGCGTGAACTCGTGCTGTTTCACATCGGAGGAGAAATAAACAAACACCCAGCATTATAATAGGAAGGATCCACACCACGGTGGGAAACTCCTGCCCAACAACACGACCGCTCCGAGGGGGTCGCAGCTTTCTGCTGTGAGCCAAGGGGCCGGCAGCACGGACACGCGTCCCCTTCCAGAGGGTGAGGAAACTCCTCTGGGGCCTGCCAAAGGATGGACATCTGGGTGTCAACTGGCGCGACCAGCACAAGGCTCAGCCCGGGACTGTTTTGAACAATGAGCCACCCCCATTTGTAGCATAACCCCTTGATGAGAGCAGAGGGGTGTAAAAATCTGCCGTGCACTCAGCATCCCATTGCTTTGGTCTGTGTGCTTGCTGCCTCAGGAGCTATTAGAGCTAGCAGAGTGCCCTGCAGGGCCTCTCCCCATTTCCCTGGGCCTCTGAGAAAGTCTGGAAGCAGCTTCAGGGCTTGTAAGTGCTGCCTTGAGCAAGGGAATACGCAAACTCCAATCAGGCTGAGAACATGTGAACATAAGGGTGGCTTAAAGGCCCTTTCACATCCCTGTCCCTGCCACTTGGATAAAAAAGAACAGTTGACAACAGATCCCAGAGGGCACCAGCGCCGCACTCAATAACTGTGCAGGAAATGCCTTTGCCACCCCCTTTCTCTGAAGCTCAACTTTACTGCTGCAGTGAGGCTGCACGCTTCCTGGGTTCTGTAGGCTGAGTTCAGTCCCCGTGCCAGGGACTCCCCGCCTTCCCCCTAATACTTGACAGACTCCTGCAGCTGTCCCTGCATCCCCCATGCTCTGCCGGGGTCTAGCAGGCTTAGCCCAATTACAAGCTCAGATTTTGGAAAACAGGTGGTAATTCATAAAATCTTTTGGGGGTAACCCGAACCAATTAGCACAGACAAAGAGAAATGAGAAGGCAGACAGTCCGAACACCAAGAACCCTTCGGTACTGCCTGGGGACGAGGTCACAGTAGGATCGCTTTAGACCCCACTCTCATTTACCAAGTCAAAAATAAATCCCTCAGCTTCTCTTCCCCTGTGGTAAGCAAACGTGCCCTGCCCATTCCTTTCTTTCCTACAAGCTGTGGCTCTGCAGCACGCTTGCACATCTCTGGCTTGGTCTTCTGATGCTTGGTGCCAGCCTTGCCTCTTCCTCCAGTGACTCTTTTCTCTGCCTTCACTCATCTCAGGGGCTGCTAAACAGTTACAAAATTGTGTGGTCACAAAATAATATCGACAATACAGCCAGGAGAATCTAGCTTGTAAGGCATCCTAACCCAGCTGCTTATTCCGACATACAAGTTACGTGAAAACTAAAATAAAACACTGCTACAAAAAATAAATGTTCTCCCTCTTCTAAGTAGCTAACAACAAGGCTTTACATGTGATGGTTTGGATGTATCTTATTACAAGGGGGAAAGAGTTTTAATTATTTAAATTTCATTTACGTAACAATTAGCTGTACTTCTCAGAATTATTATTTCCAGAAGTCAATTGTTTTCCAAAAGTTATCGAGTGAGAAAACAAAACCAAAAACATACCAAGTCGAGAGCACCTACAACACTGGAAGGAGCTTCTGGTTCTCCCTACGTGTCAGGCAGGAGTTTGTTCGCCAGCAGTGGGAGCTCTGGTACAGTTTTCCCCCAAGCCACCATCCATCTTAATAAAATGTTCACATCCAATTAAAGTAATGAGCGTTCAACCTTCTAGCAACGACTTTTATGCTTCTATTTTTAATACTGGCCTTTTCTTCTTTACTGCCTTCCCTCCGTACATATCTCTTGCTCTCTGTCCCGTCCCCAAAAGTCAGGAAGACACCCCCGAAAACTGTGCAGCAGTTGGAAATTTAAAACTCATGGTGAAAATTCCAGGTCTCCCCAGCCGTGCATATGACCAGTTGCCTAAATGGCTGGCACCTCTCCATCCTTCCATTAACTTGACTGAGGGGTGCTTTGTTTAAGGAGAGTCCCACACAAAGGCAGCTTTGCAGCATGCAACATTTAACCAGTTAGTCTGAAGGGACAAGCAGTTTCTTCAGGCAAGAAAATTACAGAGCTCATTTCAGCATCTCTAAATAACGAAAGAACAATGGAGTGATAGATTATGCTATTATTTATGCACACAAATCTCTCTCATACACACATCCTATACATCTGGAATAAAAGCCAGGCTACCAAATGCATATCTGGCAGAAAACAAGCTTTCCTTCAGCGAGAAGGGTAAATGGGATGACAAGCATTTTGGGAAAAAAAGATAAGCACGGCAAAAAGATTTTTAATCTTCCAAAGCATTCCCTGTGGTTCCCTAGGCCTGCCACACCATTTTTCATCCGATTTTATTCCTTGGAGAAGAATGGTCAATTTTCATTACCGGCTTTTGAATCGCTAAGCCAGACAACACCAGCCCAGAGAGCCAGCAGCTCTGCTCCTACAGAATATCAGCAAATCACCAGCTGTGACCAAGAGGATCAACGCCCTTCAGAACAGGGCTGGGAACGTTCTGGGGGCTAAGGGAAGAGGCAGTGTAAGGCTGGAAGGCGCTGCTTCGACGGGGAGGGGAAACCTGGCTGGCACAAACTGGGGTCAGCATTCACAAAGCAAGGTGGGGAGATGGGCAGCAAACAATACAGGTCACGTTAATCTTCTAGCCTTCAATTCTCCTATTCCTCTTATTCTAGGTGAATCAGGAATTACTTTAAAAGGGCTATTTTGGGGGCTGAAATATCACTTGACATTAGAAAAAACAGCAGATACAGTCTGCTCTTCTCTTCCTCGAATTTACTAATAGGCTTTTCTAGCACTGATGCTCTCTCCTTTCTTCAGCAGCAGCTCTGCAACAAAGATTCAAGGCACAGCAGCTTGAAATTTGGTCATACAGGTAAATTATAGCATTCTAAGAGGAATCATTGTTTCTTATCACTTAATCGCAGCCAAAATCTTAAAGCTTTTAAATGATCAAATTCTACGTTTTTCTATTACACACAAACAATCTTCCAGAGCAGGTTTTTTACTCAACTTACAGATCCATACATGGTAGATTCTCTTCACCAGGGCCTGATAATCGATGGGTATTTCATCCGCAAAATTCTGGTAGAAACATGGCTTCAGAGGGATAAACTTGGGGAGCGGTGGGAAGTTATTCACCTTTTCTACAACACAGAACACAGAACAGATTAACTGAATGCAGACACAATCTGGCACAGCTGAACAAGTGTGACATCCTCCACACCTTCCCAGACAGCCCTCCGAGTACGACGGGATTCGTGACAATCGATAAACAAACCAAAAGACACCTTAAAAGAAGTTCAGGGACAAAGCTCCTCAGGAGGTGGGCAGAGGCCAGCAACACCTGGGGGCAACACTGCCCAGAGGTTTTAAGTTAGAAACCCTCAGAAAACCCAAGGAGGAGGAAAGACTGGTGGTCTTCCAGACAAAAGCAGACACAAGCTCTGAGTGGGTGGGCTTGCTGGGGCAAGGCTTAGGCCCTGTAGTAGATACACGCTCGTGACTGTAAAGAAGGCATCCCTAACTGGAATTCAGTACTCAGATGCCATCCAGTTGAGGCAAGGCAAGACATCAGGGATGATTTTGCTTTTATGAGATTCATGAATGTCCCCTTCTTTCTTTCTAAGTCAAGTTTTTATGCAAGGTTAAGACCCAGAGGGGGGAAAAAGAAAAAAGAAAAAAAAAAAAAAAAAGCTTTGCATTCAGATACCATAAATCAGCAAATGCTGACAAAAGCAACACAGTGAAGAACTTACCTTGGGAAGAAATTACATTTTAAAAATCAAGTAATTTAATGCCTAAATCCTCTGTATTTAAGCTGCTGTCAGCTTCTAGACAGATGCACAGACACATCTGTGCAATGCACGTGTGCCTGGATGCGAGTTTCTACATGTTTGGGAATGTTTGCTCTTGCCTTCAAGTCTTGATTAAAGCTTGATTCCAGGGCATTGTGACTAATTGTCTCTCGTCTACTTCAGCCCCAGTAAACAGAATTAAAAACAACCAGAGGAAGAGATGAAGAATGTCCTGGGAAAACCTCCAAATGGCACAGAAGACGAGAGGAAATGTCTGAACAAGAACTGTCAGCACAAGAGTTCCCCTTCTCTTGCCATTATCTCTGTGTGAGAAGACGTTCTGCAGGAGCAGCTTCTTAACTTCATTTGAAGGTTGGCAGGGAAGCGTCTAAAGCTGTATGCCATGCTTCAGGAAAGAAAGTGCTTTATTTCACGCAAAGGAAAGACATGTTCATGCAGAAAATACGATGGGGATAACACCCATTGTGAGTACATAACAATTAAATATGGAAGAATCTCTTAAGTCACCAGCCCAGCTTGATTTTTCAGACCTTTCCTCACGAAAACAAACATTACATCTGCTGCCCCTCCTCACCCGTCACCTCTAAACACATCCTGCATTAATTCAGATGCCGTCTCGGGCTGGCATTAGTTACTGGTTAACGCCTACTGCTAACCACATCACACGGAGCACTGAGTTCCCCTGGCTGCTTTCAAAGTCCATAGGAATTTGGACTTTTTAGCGCTAACTTTCGGTAAGTTATGAACACCTCGTGGGCTTTCTCCTGGACAATTTGTCTCAGATGTCCGTAAAAGAACCTAACAGTGCTGGATCAAGGGAAACAAAGAGGGTGCAGCCCATAAAGCTGAAGAGTCAGCTCTCTAGGGAAGTCAGCGAGACCAAGGTTAACTGACCACAGTAAGAGAGGATTCTTTAACAATGCTTTTTAGGAGGGACGTGGAAATTTTGTTCTGTCCCTCTTCAACAGAAGATGCAGCTTCAGTTCAGCTCTGTTCCATTTTCTCCCTCCTTCAGTACAGATCTCTCACCAACAATAAAGCTGTTGCCAGCCTCTAGTGCAGAAGGCCCCAAATGATGGGGCAAAAACCAGCTGGCCTTCTGGGCACCAGCCACTGCAATTTTCAAGCTCATAAAGTACTTCCATACCGGTTTGCTTGATACAGAAGTATCGGGATTGCACCTCTTTGTGGCTGCCCAGCTCCAAGAAGCCAGGTGACTGCTTTCTCCTATCCAAAGACCCGTGTAGTTTTCCAGTGTTCTGGGTTATTCCCAAGAAAAGACAAAGAAATCAAATGAAAATATCCACTTTCATGTCTGACTGCGTTACTTGGAGTGCTCCAGCACTCATATCAAGGCTTGGATCAACACGTTACATAAGCAAGCACAATCCATGCTTTCAAAAACGAAACCTTATTAGCAATGAACAGCAGCTGGGTGCAAGTCCTGGACTTTGGCTTATTTTAAAAAAAGTTAGGAGGAATCTTGTTACTAGTTTAACTGCAAGTAAAATTAAACTGTATCAAAACTGACAGCACAGCTAGGAACACTACAGAAAGTTGTTTAGCCTCTGAAAGGAAGGAACTGCTCTCGTTTTATTATTAAATTCCATCCTCATCAAACTTTCAAAAAAGTCACACCTAAGTCTTTAATGCTAGACCAGTAACCTCTGCTAGCAAACCTACACAAAAAGGAACATGAGCAGGGGAGAAAAAAAGAAGAAGCTTTAGGGATCACTAAGATCTCAGAAAGCAAAGTGCATGTGAATGAATTACTAATGAATTGCAGCCATCATGGCATACTAGAAAACATTGTCTGAAACCATTTTTCTCTCTCCATTGCCATAGTTTGAGGTGCCCTTACCTGCCATTTCTGTTAAGTGCTCCCTGGCGAAGTTTCAGACAGACAGCAAGAGATCTATGGGAGGAAAAAAAAAAAAAAAAAAAAAAAGAGAAAGGAAAAAAAAAAGAAAAAAAAATCAGGCCAGCATATATCACTAACCAGCACCAAAAAAAGCTATTAAAATTAGGAGCATCTCTGCACAGTGCTTAACCCACTGCAAGCCCAGGGTTCCCATACAAACCACTAAAGACTGCACAAATTTGGCACGCTGGAACCTTACAGAAAGGCTCCTGGCTTCTCCTTGTTTGTACAGAGCTCCCCTGGAAGCAACTCATCCTGTACAAAACTGTCAACGGTTTTGGTGCTTGTCTTATTCAGCAGCAAACAAACGTGCTCCGAGGGTACCTGGCAAAGGCTGAGGCTGCACAGACGGCCGCTGCCAGGACACGTGCACCTTCCAGCTGAGGCAGACAGCTCCGGTTGGGACCCAGCAAAGCGCACGTGCTGGAAGAGAAACTGGTACCAACTCACCAGACTTAACGCCTCATTTAGGTGCTGAGATGATTTGCTGGCTCCCGGCTCCCCACGGATCGTCCCAGCTCCTGAAACAACCGGATGATTGCTGTTAGCTGGGAAGTAAAGTGCTGCTGCTCGGCGCATCAGCTGGTACACGCAGCCTGACATCCTTCCTTACCGTGATAATTCCGCACGCCCGTATTGTGAGGCAGATTTAGTCTTCCTGTTACCACACCACTGAACACCACTGTGATTATGGAGAAATCAAATCCTGTGAAGTTTGCTCCATGCCAGGCGCTTTGCTGATGTGGGCAGCGCTGGTGGCACAGACAGAAGCCACAGACGGGTCTGCACTGAGCAGCCTCTTCACTTCTCCTCACTTCAGGACAACCACCGCGTGCCCACACCTGCAAATTCCAGGCTGACAACAAGGCACATGGCAGAACAACCCTCCAAGAGGGTATTTCGGGGTCTGTGAACAACTCTCAAGAACGAAGGCAGTACAGACTAAAAACCGCCCCTCCAAAAACACAGCAAAGGGCACTGGGGTCAGCACAGCTGCTCCGGAGCCAGAGCTCTCAGGATTTCCAGCAGCTCCTTCCCCTTCTCTGCACCTCCGTGCTGTCCTCCCGTGTTCATGCTCCAGAGGGTGCAGATTTCACATGGGTGCAATTATTTTGTGGGGGCTGCAATCCGTTTCCTTTTTATTTGACCTACTGTAGCACAGCCCCCGGTGGTGACAGCAGCACTGGAACAGAACAGGACCTGCACGGGACACCAACTCCTCCTGCACACGGGCTGCAGGTACGCGCTATCTCAGTTATGTCAACGTCGAGGAAAACACATTTCTCTGCCCGTGCAGTCTAAAGAAAGCAACAGCGTGGGGACAGGAAGGCTGCGTAAATCACGAGCCTGTCGGGCTGCGAGCCCCTCGCTAGAGGCTTGCACAATGGGGCCCCAGCGCAGCCGAAGCCTCCGGGCTTTCCCACAATACAAACAGCCACCATCCAGAGTCTGGCAGGCGTTTTGTAACTTCGAAAATGATTTAGAAAGGCTTTGCCTCCTTTTTCATTTTTTTTTTTAAAATGTGTGAATAGAAAATAAATACGAGGACAGTTCGGAGCACAATTAGGGCTTCACCCCACCCAGCTGCAGCTGCTCCCAGCTGAGATCCGTAAATTCTGGGGGAAGAGCAAATTACAGACAAACACCAGTTATGCCAACACACGAAGAGAAAGGAATCGCCGGTGCTGCTGCCCTGGGAGGAGGGAGTTTTCCCCCACGGACACCCATGGCAGCAAGCTCAAACCTTCCCCGGGCATGGACTCAGACCTCAAGATCCAACCCAACACCATTTTTTGTTCAGAGGCTGAGATCCGCTTGCACACAAGTCACATTTTTCCCATTTCCCCAGCTTAGCAGTTAATTTTGGCAAGATTTCTGCAAACTGGATTGCAGGGTCTTGGGATAACAGGCCTCAGAGTCACAGTCAGGGAAGAAGTCTTGTGTTTGCCAAGGGAGGACAGTGCTCGACTCTGACGGCCAGTGACTGACTGAGATGGAAAATTTCACTGCGCAGCCTCAATATCCTCAAGACAAGCTCCAGTTGCAAGAGCCATGCACGAGGAAACAGATAAACAGGTACAGATACACAAGGATTATCCAACCGCCCGTGAATTTCTTGTGGAAGATAGCACATACAAACGAGCTTTCTATTCACAGGAGTGCTTTCAATTTAATTGGAAATAGATAAAAATCAATGTCCTGCGCTCTGCCGCAGTGATTCTTCACACAAAATCTATTTGTGGGAGGAAAAAAAACACACTAAGGAAACTGTGGTGTGAAGTGAACTTCCTTTTTCCACTGTGCTCATACACAGTCAATGAATAGCTCCCAAGTTTACAGACCGGCTCACATGACTCTCAAAGGCCCGTCGGAGGCTTTTCTTCATCTGTATTTCAGAGACAAAAACGCCCGCTGTCACTCCAGCAGGCAGCATTTTCCTTTTTCACCAAGACACGTATGCGAGCAGCGCCAGTTTTTTAGGAAGCACACCCCAAGATCACCCCGATATCAAAGTAGGAATCGTCATCTCTGGTAAGGGAAAGCGTGGCGCAGGAACCCCCGGGGTTCCTGTTTGAGGCACGTTACCTGACTGCAGGTCTATTTCTGTTCCAGCCCGTGGTTTGACATAACATTTATTCTGCCTATATTACAGTAACTGATTCTAAAAGGTTTTTTTATTCCCCATTATTTGCTTCTTCCTCTAAAAGGAGAGAAGAGGGATAAGGGAAATAAATAAGGGGGAGGCCAGAAGAAGGGTGCTGGCTGGGCAGTGGGAGAGCTGACCCTGGGTTCCTGCTTTGCCCCAACCCCAGGTGAGCTGCAGCGAGCCACCAGGACCAGCCTCACTGCAGGACCCCGGCTCCTCTCCTGCCATCTGCACGCGTCCCAGACAAACCCCGAAGTGCCTCACATCCCAGGCTTTCTCTAGGAATATTTGCCAGCTGATGGAGCCCTGCTGTCGGACATTCTCTGGGCCGCTTTGTTTTCTTCCTGATTTGATGACACGCGAGCTTCTACGCAGACCCGTACCCAAGAGTTGAACCCGAAGCAAAGCGAGTGGCAGGGTCCCTGTGTATCAGTGGCAGCAGAACTTGCTGATGCTCCCTCATAACGCAGTTACCCCGCAGAGTAAGCGGGCTTCAGGGGTGGAGTAGAGGCTAAGGAGACTTATGTACAATGTGTGTCTCCTTAAAACGCTTCGGGCTCACTGTGGTGAGCAGGGCTGTGACCTGGCATCAGGCTTCCTGAGGCCACCTCGTGCTGCAGGCCAGCAGCCCCCAGCCAGCTCAGCAGAGCCAGGAGCTAAAAGCAAGGGCACCCCGCAGAGACCCCCAGGCCAGGGAAGGAACCAACACCGGTGACCCTGAGACAGGCAAGTGCCTCGTTCCCATCCCCTCCCAGCTGCGTTTAACAAAAAGCGGGGGCTCTGCGCTGGTTTTGAAGAGAAAAGGCTTTTCTCAGGGCATCACTCTGCAAGGCACCAAAGCGCCTGGCCCAGCTTCACACAGGCAGACCCCGCACAGCTGCCACAGCCCCTGCCTGGCACCACGTCCCCCCCCCTCCAGCGCTGCCACCCCACGGCCACAGCCTCGCGTGGGACAGGGAGGGACAAATCCGGCTCCAAACCTCACGCCAAGGCCACCCGGCACCAGGGGGAGCGGGGAAACCGCTCCCGGCAGCGCTGCTGCAGGGCCCACACGAGGCCCGCTGCGGGATCGGGCTCCGAGCGAGGAGGGGGGGGGGGGGGGGGGGGAGCCCCCGGGGGCCGCGGGGATTTGCCAGGAGCTGAGGTGGGGGCAGCACCGAGGGGGGGGGGGGGGGGCCGGGACACAGAGCGCCAGGGACAGCCCCTGAGGCACCGCCCCGCGCCACAGCCCCCGAGCTGGGAAATGCTCCCGAAAAACGAAATCCAGAGGGGAGAAAACGCCCCGCGCGGGGCTGCCCCCCCCCAGCCGGCCCCGGGCTCGCTCCTCACCCACACGGCCCCTGCAGCTCGCCCCCCCCCTTCATGTCCCCCCCGCCCCCTCCCGTCCCTGTCCCCCCCTCCCCGTCCCGGCTCTCACCGTGCCCCCCTCCAGGCGCTGCGGCCCGGGCCAGCTCCCCCGAGCCCTGCTTGGCTCCGCGGGGCGCGCTGGGAAGCAGAGTCCCGCCGGGCGCCGCCGCCATGGCGCTCAGCGGGGCCGCGGACTACAACTCCCAGCATGCCCCGCGCCGAGCCCGTCACGTGACGGGGAGAGCCGGGGCCGGGGCGGGGGCTGAGGCGAGGCTGAACGCGCTACGGGGAAGGGAGAGGGACCAAATTGCAAAGGGGGGGGCGTTGCTGGGGGGGGTCCCTCACCCCTCACCCCCTGTCCCTGTCGCCACGGCGAGGCCCCGCGCGAGTTGTGGCCGCCAGCTGTAGGCAGAAGCACCTGGAGCACCTCTCCGTCCACAGCATCGCCCCCCAGCCCCCCATTAAACCCCCGCTGCGCAGCAGAAACGTTTCATTTTCACACAAACACGGCTGGGTTGGGACGGGCGGCGTGGCCCAGGACACGGCAGCGTCCTCGGCGTGCCCAAATCCCGCGGGGAGCTCAGCCCCCCCCGAGCCTGTGGGGATCAGGCCCTGAGGTGCAGCCCGGTCCGCACAGGTTCAGACACCAAAATCCAAAGGGTTTTGCTTCTTGTTCATGCTGACAGAGACCAGAAGCTCGGTGGAAGTTAATCTTGTAACTTCAGTAGCCTTTTTTTAGTTAGATTGGCCGGGCTGACTAACGGCGAACGCCACGTTTTATTTCCTGGATCAGTTACACCGTGTGGAGGTGATAGCTGGACTCAGGCCCCAGGGCTGTGCAGTCGCTCAGGAGGCTGCTATTTATAACATCTGCCACTAAATGCTGATTTCACTTCTGAATAAGTCAGCTAAATCAGCACAAGCAGCAACCAGTGCGCTTGCCCAGGGCCCAGTGCTTGCGTGACTTACCTCCTTCTGCAGAATTTAAGCCTCAGCAAAACAGGGTAGTGAGGATTTAGCAGACAAATTACTCCAAAATCTTTGTGATGATGCAGCCTGAGAATGGTGTACTGGGAAGCCCTCAGCCAGCCTCAGCAATACCTGGATTTATAACATTCTGGGCTTAGATATTTTAATGTGGGTCTATAGCTCCTTAACTCTTCCTTTCCACTGCATTAGCCTTATTAACATCAGTACCGATCAGTCTCCAAGGTACCCGTGCTATGTAAATGCTGTTAATTTGGTAGCATATAAAACCCACTCTACTTCAAAAATATTTACAACCCCCGAGGCTGTGGTTTCTGTAAACAGTGTACTCCAGCCCCAGGCTACATGATTCAGACTCATCCCTCTCGTACTTAGCTAAGCAAATGCTGAGGCCTTCACATCTCTTATCTGCAGTTAGGCAAAGTTTCCCTAAAATACAGGTCTTGGGGTTCACTGCTCGTGGTTGGCCCCTGCTCCAGGCAGGCTGCCAAGCATTGCTTTGCTCCCCAGAGGACACGGGCAATGCCACTGACTGCAGTATTTGCCAGGTGGGCAAATATTTTCTGGGAGGGAAGGATCAGGCCTCCTATCACCCCATCTATCTGCAAGGATCGCAAAAATGTAGAGATTATTTTAGCTATAAACCAGTAGAGGTCACTCCGCCCCAGTAAATCCAGTGCTACCGGAGATACTGGGCCACCAGCAAGAGGGACAAGACTGCTTACTGGGAGAAGGCTTGTTGGGACACAGGGTGGCAGAGCCCAGCTTGTGATTCCTCTGGAAGAAAAAAATAAGGGAGCTATTTAAACATGAAAACCAAATGAAGGTGTTAGCACACAGCTGCTCAGAAGGGTTGTGGGCTTTACACCCGCACAGCTGCTGCTGCTCTGCACGCTGCCCCAGGTGCAGCAGTTCTCTACGGTGCCAGGTGCCCCATCTCCGCAACCTCCCTGTCCAAACGGGATGATTCCTTCCCTGCGTCCCCACGAGCCATGCCCTATTTCTGGCTGTTCCTGGCTCTCCGCAGCAGCCAGGTTTTACTGTGCAATATATAACTCTGTGGGTGAGAACAGCGAAGGAGGACACATGCTGCCTCCTGGGAGCAGCAGGGCAGTATTGGCTGCGGAGCGGGTGAGGAGAGATCCTCGTTCATTTTTCACTCTGCTCCACAGCTCCCTGAGCTCCACCGTGGCTGCCTGGGGACACAACGGCTCTGGGTCTGCAAAGGGAGTGAGCAGGGAGCTCGCTGCCAGGTGAGGATTTCAAGGGAAGCTAAGGGGGAAAAGGGTTGTTTTGCATGCAGTACCTCTGATCCACTGCATCCTGATGGGGAAGCATCCTTGCACCCAGGTCCTTGTATCCTTGCCGTATTCAAGGCAGGTGGCTTCCTTTCTTCCCTCTTAGCGTGGGTACTATTTGAAAAGGAATCCATGTCCTGCCTGTCTTGAAACTTGTCTCCCGTACTGCAGGGTGAGATCACTGTACTCAGCTGCGTGTTACCTGGACAGGTTTCCCACGCCAAGCCCTCTCCCCAAGCTCTGTTCCCACTTTGAGTGCACGGGATGGAGGATGCTCAGCAGCATGGGAAATGCTCTTGAGGGCTCCAAACCCAGCGCACATGCAGGAGACAAATCCAAATTTTTCCCTGGCTCACTGAAGTGCACGCCTGGTTTGAAGTGAATAAATAACACCTGAAAACCTCTACTGTTTAGCCTTGTTTCCAAACAGCGTGCTGGATCGTGGTGTCTATTACAGCTTGGTCCTGAGCCAGCTGAACAATTAAAGGCTAGTCCATGACTTCGAGGGGTTTGCTTCCAGCCTCAGCATTTGCTAAAATTTAGAATCACACTATTTCCAACATTACTATTTTTACCTTGTAAAACAGACTTTATTTTTCTTCCTGTAAATTTTGTGCAATATACATGTATATACCTATAGAATACACCTCAATAAAAAGTTTTTCGTCCATACATTATATTACTTTTTATTTAATGTCATGAAAAAATCAGACAAAGCTTTTGTCCTTAAATAAACATTTCTCCCTCCCTTGCCCTCCCTTCCTAGCTGACTGGTCTGAAAGAGGAAGTTTTATTTAGTTATTTTCTTTTCTTTAAAAAAATAGAAATTACAATCTTACAAGACAGACATTCAATGAGAACAGAAGCATGTTCCTAAATCTAAAAAGTAAAACATTTCCATAAAACCTGTTGGTATCTACAGGTAGGTACGTGTGGAGGGTGTTAAATGGAAAAAAATAGTTTTCCATTTCTTCCTTTCATTCATATAGATAAAAAATAACATAAAGCCGACTGAAACTTTATATATTTTCTCTTTTGCACCAACATTCACAAGAATATATATTATATATATTTTATCCATTTTTATACACAGTGTGAGGGTTCTGGAGGTGGAAATGCACACTCAGCTAAATTGCCATAGCAAACAAACAAACACAAAATTAATCTTCATCTGGAAAAGAGCAATCCCTCGCAGCTGAGGTCACCCTGCTAAAGGGAACCATTTCTCGGGTCTTTTTTGAAAATGAAGCGGCAAAACGCCTGGCTGCTGGTGGGATGGAAACATTTCTCCAAGACGCTGAGGGCTGAGCGAGTCTGGGGTCTCAGGGCTCCAACGCAGCCTCTCCACTTGTCACATGCAACACCGCTGCAAGGGACCACGCAAGTCTCCCTTTTCCAGGCATCTCTACCCAGGCTTTTTTGTTCTCCCTTCCCCTTAAAGCTCAATTCCTCGCGCTGCCAAGCCGCTGTCTGTTGGTGGCACAGAGGGGAGCACGAGGGACCTCAGCACAGTGCCCACGGCCCTGTTTATCTGGGCAAATACAGAGGAGCGAGCCGAAAGCAGGGGCTGCGGTGTGCAGCTACCATCCCTTTCGACGCATACCGCCTGCCCCAAGGCGCCTGCCCAG